TGCTATCAGCTCAGATTAGCTTTGATGTCACAATTCTCCTGCCTCTTTTGCCTACTAATGTTGAGGTTAAAGTCATGAACCACTACACCCGTTTTCAGCTTCTATTCTTTAATTTATAAATTGCTCTTGGATTCTTTCTCATTCCAATTTATTTCCGTGGAAAAGCATACTATGGGCATGGAATCCCTATACACACTAGGAATAGTTTTGTTTGCTAATCTTCCATCATTTAGGATTTTTTTTTGGCTACAGTCATAAAGTAAGCAAACAAACCAAAAAGTTGGAGAAACTGGTGCAATTAAAGAACCAACCTAGTGCTCTAAAGGCCTAAAGCTGTAAGAGCGCTGAGGATTTGTATGCAGGAACTGAATACATAACACACATACAGAAACGTGTGCACGTGTACACACACAGACATTTGTATATATATTTTATATTTAATTTTTGGTCCAGTTATAGTTTTAGTTAAAGTAGTAACTGTTTTTCTTTGTTAGTTTTTTTTTTTTAAATAAAAATTTGGGTTTTTGTATGTTATGGACAGAGTTCTCTTTAATCTCACAGTTTTATTTGTTGCTGAATTCATTTTATTTTAAAATAAATTTTATTGTCTGTTTAACATGGTGTTATAAGATACATATATAGTAAATTGGTAATTGTAATGAAATAAATTGATATATCAATTGACACAATCGGTCTAGTTATCTAGATACTTCATCTTAGTCAGTTGAGAGCCTCTTGAAGTTGTGACCTAATATATTTTGATTTTATTAATTCTCATTTCTTGATTTCTGGCAAAGTCATATGTTTATTTTCTACTACAGATATGGCACTCAGCATTTCTGCAAAGATAAGTTGTTGATTTATAAGGCAGTGGTATCTAGAAACTGTAACCTGAACACTGAAAGTGTTCAGTGGACCGGGGAATTGGTCAGTGCTTGTTGCCAAATCTAATGGCCTGAGTTTAGCTTTGGAACTCACATGGTGGAAGGAAACGACTAACTCCTACAATCTGTCCTCTACTTGCTGTGGCATATGTGTGCACAAGCACATGCAAATACACATAGAGTAAATAAATAATTTGGTGAAAAAAATTTTTGAGACAGTCTCTCTCTGTTATGTAGCTCTGGCTGTCTTAGAACTTGCTTTGTAGAACATCCCGGCCTTGAACTCCTGGAGATCTGCCCACTTTTTTTTTTTCCCAAGAGGCTTAATTAAAAATAGTTAAAAAAAAAAAGTTCTCTACCATTGAGGCTCCCTTTGTCTTTTGATATTTTAGTAGACAGATACAGAGATTTCTTTTAAAATGCTAGGCAATATCTTTTATATTGCTAGTATAATAATTCCACTGTAATCCTAAAACCAGAGTTTTTGCTTAAATTCTTCCTATCATAAAAGAAAGAGTTGTTCTGTTGCTAACAAGGAAGGAACATCCACCTAACCTTATGCTTCACGTGCTTCCTTCTTACAAGTACACTTATTCTGTTGTGAGGGCAGCATTTCCAGTAGCTGTCGATTTATTACATTTTAAAGACCTCATTTTCAAATACCCACATAGGGGGTTGGAACTTTAATGTATCATTTTTTTACATATCATTTCTTAATCTTGCGTATGTCTATAACATATCAGTTAAAGCTTTGTGATAATAATGCCAGTGGCTTTTTGCTATTATTTTTACCTTATATTGTCTCCCACTAAATACATTGTGATGTACCTTTGTAGCCCATGTGAATTATGATTGTTATCTATTCTGTGCTATTAAAAGTCCTACTTGTGTTGTTACTTTTGTTTTAATTTTGTTTCATATTACCACTATAATTTGGATTCAAACTTCTGGTGCGTAATTGCTGAACAAAGGGATCGAATTCTTGCAGAATTTTGCTAAATATTGCAAAATCATTCTCTTTTAGCATCTGTTTCATTTTCATTTCTGCTAGTACAAATGGCCATCCAGAAAGTTTTTCCTTATTTGTTATTTGCAGAGTATTTTATCTGTACAATTTTATTTAGTATTTGTCTTAAGTCCAGGGTTGACCTTGATTTAGGGGATGTATCATTGCTCTATAATGCCTTAATATTTCCTCCCATTTTCTATTGAGGATGGTCATTGCTTTCTACATCTTCCCTTTTCATATATGGGGGCTCCAGCCTGTATAGATAGCAAGCTTCTCATTTTCTCAGTCATGTTTTAACTATGAAACAATTTCTTTTCCAAAATTTTTATGTTATCACTTAGACATTGTATTGTCTCTGGTTTTTCAATTTTCCAATGTTTCTAACTTTGAAAGAATTCACTTTTTCTTTAAGAACTAATATTTTTCATTATTGGCATATTTTCCATGAATTTGGAAGTTATTCTTGGATTGAGACACAAACAGATACAGTTCTATGTTTTCTCTATGTGGCTATGCACTTATACAGAGTAAGTTACCAAAGACGTCCATATTTTGTCTTGTTATTATAATGTTGGTACCTACAAATAGTAGATGCTTCATAATGTTCGATGAATGATTGGAAACAATGTGTTAAACATTTTATAGTTTACTTGCTTAAGATTTTGTCTGTCACCCTTTAGTTCTAGAAAGTATAATTTTTGTTTGATTAAATTTAGTTTAACTACATTACATTAAATGAGTAATTGATATGTTTTAGTTAAAAAGATACAATATTGGCTGGAGAGAGGGCCAGCCATTCTATTATTGTGTAGAGGACCTGGATTCACAACTGTCTGTAACTCTAGTTCTAGGGGATCTGTGGCACTAGGCATGCATGCATGGGGTACATATATATGTGCATGCAGACAAAGTACTCATACACATAAAATAACATAAATCTTAAAAGATAAGTATAAACTTAAATGGTATGTATTGACACGAAGTAAGGAGAAACATGGATAAAATAGCCCAGATACATTTTCCTAAGATCATGATTCTTATGTGTGGTTGGTACCATTAAAATTTTTTCTATATCCTGAGCGATTTATTGGTAGGGGAGCTTAATAAGAGCATGTTTTGTCCATTTTTAAAGCTTGTCTTTTATCTTTTTGTTTTGTTTTTTAAATGAGCATTGCTGTGTTGCTTTAACCGATATGGAACTGCTAGGCTCAAGTAGTTGAACTATACCTCATCTTCTAGACTAACTGTAGGCAGGCTTCACCATGCCCTGCTTGTCTTTTGCTTTATTTTTTATACAAGTTAATTTTGCTTAGTTATAAGTAATTATGCTGTTTGACTTCATTTTAGTTTCTCTTTTCTGACTCTGCAATGTCATTTATTAAAGAAGTCGTGCCAGCCCCATGTTAAAAGCAATCTAGGACGAGCAGGTGCTTGAGTAGTTAATATTGCATTTTATTTCATCTGGGATCTATTTTTTTCTTAAATTTTCTGCATTTCATTCACTGTATGGTTTTTGTGTAAATGTGTGTGTCACTTGTGCCGTGGCACACAACTGTAGTGGTTAGAGAGCAGCTTGTAAGTCTGTTCTCTTTTATGCCATGTGGTGCCTGGGAAAGAAGCCTGCTAGCATCTTTAGCTTGTCCTTGAGACGTGATCTCTCTGTTGTACAGCTCAGACTGTCCTGGAGCTTGCTTTGTAGACCAGGCTAGCTTCGATCACATCAAGATCTTTCTGCCTCTCCCTGGGATTAAAGGTGTGTGACTAGACTGGCTAGACTTAGTCAGAGGAGTTGGTGAATGGTAAATTTACTGTAGATTAGTAGCTGTTAAATGGTGTAGTGGATAAATTGTCTGCTGAACATCATTAGTTGTGAAATTTCTAAGTCTCTTGCCTATCATTGTAGGTGTTACCCAGTTCCCAAAATAGCAGTGTACATATTTTTCAAAATTAAACTTACCATTCACTAATATCTGCTAAGGGGAAGATAAATCAACTAGTGGATCAAATATGTTTTCTTTTCCCTTTTCTTATTTATATCTAACACCTGGTGCCATATGCTAGCAAGAGAAAAGTGCCTGTGAAATCTGTGGGCATGGCCAAAGAGAATAAGAAGAGAATGGCAAATAGTGGAATAAGCCAATTTTGCTTGGGTTTGTAGACCTGTTAGCTTCTGTCATAAGTAAAACATATAGCAGAACAGCATAATAGATAAGACCATAATCTCTGAGATGGAACAAAAAAGCATTGTTATTTTATATATATATATCACCTCCCACATGAGCCTTTCTTTTAGTGTTACAAGTATTGTTTGAAGTAATGTACAGTACTTTAACACAGTACCAGTACACTGCTTCCACATTCAGTGAATAGTGTGTGATGTTATTATTGGTATTATTATTGCAGACTTTTCTGGAACTAGAAATTAATAAAGTTCCAACGAGAATGTGTGTACTTTTGCATATTATAATACATGAAAGAGATTAAGTAAAATGCGAATTAGTCATTGACAAATTATTCTAATTTTATTTTAAACAACCTAGAGTTGTAAATACTGAAACTTGCATTTTCCTTTTGAAATATCTGTTAGCACTTTGAGTGTAGTGGTACCCAGTTCACTCTGTAATCTTTCCTTTGATCAAATCCATGTAGTCATTTTCAAACATTTCTTTTTCATATTCAAAAATTGTCATACGACTGAGGTAAAGTAGATACTATTAACAACTGATGAGACTTTCAGATAGCGGCTTATTTGGCCTATAAAGTTAACATTTATGCTGTTGGAAATGAAATTTGAAAATAAATTGATAATAGAATTTTTATTTTAAAATAAGTTTTGGTTGTCTTCTTAGTCAGGATTTCACTATTTAATCTAGTTTTGCCTTGAATTCTCATTCCTCCTGCATCATTTTCCATGTGTTACTAAAGGCAAAACATACAGTTTTTTTTTTTTTTTCCTCCCCGAGATAAGGTTTCTCTGTAGCTTTGGAGCCTATCCTGGAACTAGCTCTTGTAGACCAGGCTGGCCTTGAACTCACAGAGATCCATCTGCATCTGCCTCCTGAGTGCTGGGATTAAAGGTGTGCACCACCCCCTTTATACTGATTTTTTACTTTGGTTTAATCCCCTCTGGGGTCTCAGATCATCATTATCATTATCTTTCAAGTCAATCATGAGGAATATAGAAATGGTTTTAAATTGATACCTAAGAATAAGTACTTAAATATTTTTAAGGATTTTGTTTTTCAGAAGTCAGTGTTTTAAACCCAATAATACTATACTATTATATTTTCAAATATCATCAGGGTGTTGGTTTTATTCCTGTTACAAACCTGTACCTTAGTGCTCACAAACATACATTCCCCCCATTTCTTCTGTGGCATAAATCAGAGGGAATTAGTTTACGCTGATAGTCCCTCTGTCTCTCATCACTGCTGTGATTTTTTTTATGTCTTTTTTTGTAGTAATACTGGTAACTCTTCAATTATATTGAGTAATTAAGTGAAAAATAATAATTAAGCAAAAGCTGGAGGATGTTTCATAGCTGATTGTTCAGAAACATTTGATGTGGAATAGAGTCCTTAATGCTTCTTATTTAGAAGAGGGGATAAATTTATGGACTCAGTGTACTACAAACAAATAACATTTTTGTACTTCTGGCAATTTATCCTTTCATAATAGGTTCTGTGATAAAATTGTTAGAATTCTGGTCAGAAACATTCTGACTTAATTAAAATTGATAAATTTACATATAACAAAACACTTAGGTTAGTGGGTAAAATTGATAAATTTACATGCAATAAAAAACATTATTTTTAAGTTAGTGGGGCTGTGTTTATTGATGTTAAAATTCATGATGAGGCCAAACAAAATATGAGAACATTTCTATAACATTCAGTTCAAGGTTTTGGTGTTTACCTTTTAAAAAGTAATAGTACCTTGATAAAAGTGCATTGAGTATGTTGTCCATTCCAAAAGCAAACAAACAGTCATCAAACTTTTGTAGCTTCTCCCCATCTCTTCCTAAATGGTTTTTAGTTGGTGATGCAGATATTTGTCATTTACCAAATTAGAAACTTAGGTTTGTAAACTTGACATTGAGCGAAATAAGTAAGTTTCACAAAATGATTTAAGTGTTGGATTCTGTACATCTGCCCTCAGGAAATAAAACTTTACCCATATGTTGCTGTTTGGCAGACATACATCTTAAAAATATATTGAGTGAAATTTCTACCTGTATTCCCTTTTTTCTTCATTTTTCAACGACACTTCATCATTGTGCTTTTTTTGTTAGTACTTTTGCTTCACTTAGAGGAACATGATTTTATTTCACAGACATACGTGACGTAAGGTATATTTGTAGTTAAGCATTCTCCATGAGTGCAATATTTTGTCTAAATGCAAAATTCATTGAAATACTGGGTTGGCCCTTAATACTAATGAGCAAACAAAATTTATCTATTTTGAAACCTTTAATAATTCATTTTAAAAACTTGAGCCTGAGACACATTATTTTTTCACATTTATCACATGTCAAAATAATTTCCCCAGTATATATGAGAATTAATAAAAGAAATTATAAAACACTTATCATTTATTTTTAAAAGTAAATACTTGAATGAGAATTGCATTGCTCAAATGCCTGAATATAACTGAGTTTATGGCATAACTTAACTAAGTCTTATTGTGTGTGGTATAAAGTTAGAACTCTAAAGTCAGGTCAGAAAATGTGTTCTTTGCACAGTTACAAAGTTCCCTTGTACATTAGATTATATGATGAAATTCAAAGTAAACCTAGGAATCTTTTGACTATCTTCATTTCTTAAATTATGATTTAATGTATGCAGATACACTGTATTGATCCCTAATATAAGACTTGAACCCTTTATGTATTCATGCTTATTGCATGTTAATACAGAGAATCCTTTTCTTTATACAGTTTTTTTTAAAAGTAGACTCTTTTGGGATATCTTTTTGTCATATTGTTGTAATTTTATGAATTAGCTTCTTCAGAAATTAAAAATATAGTTTTGAATTCCCTTACATGATGAGCTGAACTAAAACTTGTTCTATGTATGTATCAAGTTTTTAACTATACATGCTTTAAGCAATATTTACAAATTGCACACTTGAACAAAAATAGTCTTTTAGTGTAGTTTACGGTGCCGATACCTGCCTGCTTTTTCCTTTGCTGCGTTGGCACAGGCGTTGTGCTTATTTTGTTGTAAATGGTTCCAGTATTTTATCAGTTCACTAGGCTGGAACTGATGAGAGGTAATTAGGTGGCTGTATTTACAGCTTGAGTAAGAAACTCGCCAGTGATTGAACACGAACTCATTGGGAGGGGGCACAGGATCAATTCTCAACTTGGCAAGACAGATCCCTACATACACATCTTCCAAGTGCAAACGACGGATGCCTAAAGAAACCTTAAATATCTTTTCTGCTAGATCCCCAGAAAAAACATAACCAGTTCCTGAACAGAATACAGGGTAACGCTCACTTGGATAAAGGTCTGGTGGCATGTACCACTTGCTGTCTTTGTTTCTGTTAGGTGCGTATCCTCTCATTAGATACCCAGTAAAGTAGTTATGTCTAGGAGGCAGTTCTGGCTTTAGTAACTTGTGTATTAAATACTCAGTGTTGACAAACATGTCACTGTCTGTTTTCATAACATATGGAATATGTGGACAGTATGTTGCAACCCAGTTCATACCCATTAGTGTTTTAATCGTCAGATTATAGTATGTATCTAAGTATTCCTGTTGAATTATATCATGATATTGTCTGCTTTCTTCTAGAATTGCATGTTGAAGGTAGCCATTTTGCTTAATACTTATGCCCAACAAAAAAATCCGTGTGATTTGGATGCCAGGTGCCAAACTTTCATTGCCCCACGTTTGCCGGATAGCTCTTCTTGCTTCTATTTGTCCAGGTTCTGCAGCTATTAATAATATTAAAAATGGACTTTTCTCTTGGCATTTTTCAGGCTCATTGATAATATATTTGAAATGATAAGAGTTTGGATGTCCAGTACCCTTTTCATTATAATTACTTCCATTGGCACTGAGTGTGTTCTCTAGTCCTGTAACTCCTTGTGGTGATAGATCTGTGTTATTGGAGTTAGTTGATGTCTGAGGCCTCAGAGTCTGAGGAACTGTTTCTTTCCATATGTTCCGAAGAGAGCTGTGATTTGTCTCACTTTTTGTAGAACGAAATCCTCGGAAAGTGTACGTCACAGGGTTTTCTTTGAATCCAGCTCTACCTGGTAGCCAGTCATGATGGTTGAAAAACAAAAACATAGCAAAAAGAAACACTAGGGAAAGTACACCCATAAGGTGGGTCCGGAACAGAGACCTTTTAGCATTCCAGGTCATCTTTGCAAAGCAGCAGTGTCTTCTCCTCCACTGAAACATGTTGGAAATATCCAGTAAGATGTATGAGGCCGGAAATACTCTTAGGTTTGTTTTTTTTTTTTCTTCCTGAATCAGTCCTGTTCTTTGGTCATCATTTTCTGGTTTAGTTGTGTGTCCCTTGAAGTCATTCTGTAAAGATGAAGCATAATGGTTTACAAAATGCAAAATCTCACAAACTAACTTGAAAAGACTCTGATTGCTAATAAAAGGACGTTTTTAAGTTGTGAAAAATAGGATAAGCCAGAAGAAAGCATATAATTTGTTTCCTTTTGACAAAATGAAATAACCAAGGTTTATTTCTTTTAAAATATTCTTGTAACAATCATCACTTGAAAGGTAAGTGATAAATTAATTTTATTGTACTCATTTGATGATCTCAGTAACTCTGGTCACCTGTTCTTTTGACTTAAGGTAAAGATTTTTAAAGTTGTATCATGTAGAAAGAAAAAAAATGTTTAGATTTCTTACAAAGGCTCAGTAAGAAGGCCTTGAGAACAGATGGAAAGTTTATTGACATTAATTAAAATTGATTTGACATGCTGTGACGATATGGTTGCCCAGTCAGTGTCCTTTTTTGGAAAATGGTCATGTATTGGTTTTAAGACAGACGGTGCAGGTTTGATTGTGGCAGAGTTCAGTTAGTCACAGTACACTGCCTGGCGCATTTCCACTGGCCCCCACTATTGAAACTCAATGAGAAGATACACCTGTCAAAATTAATTTTCAGGGTCCAGTAATTTCAGTGTGAGATTAGACAGTAATAAGTGGTTGATATTTAAATATTTTACTAATTTTGACCATCCACCTCAAATAGGAAGTATCCAGGAGATCAGTCTTATTTGTTTATGAGTTTGGCAAAGGACATGCATTTTTACACAGTTTTTTTTTTTTGGACTGTATTTTAGCAAAATATAGGCAGTGGCCACTACTATCTTCAACTGCTTTAAACCCTATTTTGTACAAATTATATCTTAAAATATTCTTGAATTATGTTTTGTTAAAACAAATCTCTGCAGCAATCAGAAATTAGTTTATTTTTTATGTCTTTATAGTAGCGTAGCACATTCATTCCTTGATCTTTAAAAAGTTACGTGCTGGACAAAAGAAATGAATGATGCCACATAATGAAAAACTGGCTTTTGCAAGAGGCTTTTCAGCAAAGCATAAACTTATTTGTATTGTATTTGTTAATTGTATTTTGTTTTTTCTTTTTTCCTATTCTTAGATGCTTCTAGATGAAGTGGGGTCATAGAAGTAGTTTGAATTTCAATAAAAGCTGTTTGGAGGAATGGAGACAAATATTTAGCATTTATTTTTCCAATTTTTTTTTAAACCAAACTTAGAAGTAGAAGTCATTTATTTAATCATTAATTTTGGGACCTGCAGTGTTAAATTAAATTCGTGTGCTCAAGAAGTGATTTTATTTCAATAGTTCACTGTAATAATTTCTTCAAGCAAATAAAATTTTAACAGCCACTTATTTTAACTTATATGTGTAAATGCATGTTCTTATTTAGCTTATAGTGATCGACTTATTGTTGATGGCAGATTGGTTTAACACTGACACAAATACATTTAAGAAGTAATATAATTTACTTGGAAGTCCTCAAGAAATTGACTAATTGTAGCATAAAACTTACACATACCTTACTGCTTAAAGTGATGTTTATGAATGAAATACTATTCTAGTAGCAGCCACTAGGAGGAGCAAGTAGGTGGGAATTTGAACAAATTTCTAATGTGTACCAGGCACTAAGGTTTGATCTTGTTTCTGAAATTGAATGGTGCTTTTATTGAATAAGGTATTTCCCAAAACTAAAAATGTATTTATTTATATATATGAACGAACATTGATTTTTTTAAAAAAAATTTCTAGTTTACTTTTAGTTTTATTTACATGTATTAAATCTTACAGTATTGTATAAAGATGAAAGCTGTTTTCATCCGGTGGAAACATGGTTCCTATATGACATGAGTTGAAAATTATAGAGCTTCATCGCCCAATTTAGAAACAAATTTTCCTGCCTGTCTTTATAAATTATATTTAAAGCTGAAAACTGTTAAAGAATTTATTGGAAAATTATATTATTTGGTAACCACTAATGATACACACCCACCTTATGAGTCTAATGGATATTGAAGACTTATGTGTATAAATTTAAAAAGAAGTAACTTTGGAAAGTTCATTTGGTTTGTTTCAGGTGTTATAAATACATACTTATCAGCCTTCTGTTGATATAAAATTGCTTAAAACATGGTTTAGATCCAATCATTCAGATACTTTAAAAGTGAAGACTTACAGTTCAAAAAGGAATAAATTCAAGGTCAGATTTTTAAATGAACCTAAGAGAATGAAGTATTAACTATTATAGTAAGTTACATTGTTTTCAAGAAAAGTGTACTTAAAGTGATATTTCAAAGTGTTTTAGTGTTCTAGAAAGCAGCTATTTTTATTGTAGCTTAGCATTCATTCATAAATTGGTTTTAATATAACTTTATAAGATGGAGGTACATCTTAATTCAAATTTCATGAGTATTACATGTTTATAAGTATTAATCTAGGAAGGCTTAAAATCCCTTTACAAATATACCTATTTGATGCCCTCCCATTTATAAATGAAACTCATGCATCTAGCCTTAACATTCTTTGCTAAAGTTTCCCAGAATGGAGATATATACGTATATATCTGCAAATGTGTGCTATTAAAAAGAAAGTAAAATTGCTGTAACTGTTTCTTTTGTTAAACGATAAAATTATTCTCAGATTATAATGCCTGTTGTATTTTAGTTTAGAAAATGAGAACAGGATAGAGACTGAAGTATTTTGCCATGTCTTACAGTTTTTTAAAGGTAGATCCTTTCTTTTTTGTTTTGATTATAATACCTTCAGTGTGATTTTATATTTTATGGATTAAAATTAATAAGGATGTTACTATTAAATGTAACCCCCATATCAACTTTAAAAGTTGGTATAATTATATTAGTTTTTTTTTGAAACAGACACAGATTTAAGTGATGCTTTGGTAGAAAAACTTATATACTTTTGTCTTGAAACATTTATTTTAGTCTATTAACTTAATTTCTAATAAAGATACTAGGAAAGGCTAGATTTTTGAAACTGTTTCATTTAATAATTTCTAATTTAATCTGTTAGAATACAGATACTCATGATTGAGAATTGATGTTTATATATAACAAGGTTTGATACACATTCAGTCTTAATTTTACAATGCAGTTCTTCCACAGATCTTAAAATTATTTGCTTTTTTTTATTGTTAGTAAGTTTTATGAAAGTGAGGGGAAAAATCAAAGTACGATAGGTTTGTAAAATTGAGTTAGTTGATCTTCTGGTGTTGATTGTACCCAGGATAGTTTATCTCTTTCTTGTAGACACATGTAGAGGCAATAGATAGATTTCTGTTACATGTAAATAAAGCTCATAAGCCCATTATTGATATTATTTTGATCTTATATTATTAATGAATATTTTCATATCAAACTATTTTATGCTAGATTTTTAATTTCACTTTAAAATTTATCTTTAGGAACAGTCTTACACTCAATTATTTGGAATCAGTTTGTTACTTAAAAGCTCCCTACTTCACTAATGTACTTAGAACAACTATTTGATATTTCTTTGTTTAAAGTTGTATTCATTGATACTGTAATAACGTGTGACTGACTCCTTGATGGTGTTATGCTTTTCATAAACTCACTGCCGTATGTAATCTGATGCTCATGTTTTAACTTGTAATATCCTTTTGTAGTTCAATAATACCTAAAATTTGCTGATATACTCTTGAACTGTGTTTGTCCTCTCTGAGGAACTAGATATTAGACCAAAGATATTACTATTAGCTGTTAAGATTTTGTTTCGAAAGGATTTCCCCACAAAGACCCTATGAAATTAAGATCATATTAGATACTATTTAGTATAATTTTCCTGCACTATCTTTTGAAAGCCACTTTTAAAAATGTGCTTTAATTTATTAGACAAGGAATCAATTTGACCTAATTTGCTAGAGAATTGCTGGCTTTTTTTTTAAAAGGGCTACAGATTTTTTTCCTAGTTTAATTTCTCAGAGAATCTTTTTAGTATATCTAATTACTATTTGTTTTTTCTCTAATATTTGTAATCGTACAGAATTACTCCCAGCTACATGTTTAGTTGAATAAAACAATGACAGTTTGTCTTTTAGAAAAGAAAAATTTTAAAATCTTGTATTTAGAGACCCTTTCATAGTTTCAAGGGCAGTGAACTGCATGAACTTGTTTATCAAGTATTAGTGCCCGCAGGACTATAAAATCATAACACATTTTTAATACACATTGTACACAAGACAGCGACATACCTTTCTTTCTTGGTCAGGCCATTTAGGTGGAGAGGATTATGCCCACTGAAAATACTTTTGGCACGCCATCACTTCAGCCAAAGGAAAAAAAAACAACAAAAACCCCCCAAAACGATGCTATCGAACATGCGCACATCCCCCAACAGTCTGCCTCCTGTGATTGCTTTTCACAGTATCCAAAGTGTCCATCTGTCGGCGTGTCTTCAAGTTACCCTTCTTGTTCATATGTGCCCTAGTCTTCAGAGATTTTCCCTGTGTTTCATTTTCTCTCCTTAAACAAAAGGGCTGTAGTTGTCCGTTCTATTTGGTGCACTGTTGACTCTTTCCGACAGTTGATGCATTGACGCTCTTTACATCTGCTGTATTCTCCGGCTGGACAATGCGGTGCTGTATTCTCTTCTCAGTATCCATATTTCTAGTAGTAGTGCTGAGCTGCAATGTAAAGCAGCAGAGCTGGGGTTTTGTGTTTCAGTTGCATTGGGGAAAAAAAAAGGCTTTGCCTCTCTTCCGTCGTCGTTGCCTGGCAGCTGCAGGAAGGATTTTTTTTTTTTTTGAGCAGTTTTACTGGGGTTTTAGTCTGTAATATGAAATCCACGGTTCTTCAGCTGCTGCACAGGCAGGCAGCAGTTTAAATGTGGGCTTGACAGATGCTCTCTCTGACAGAGCAGAATTTAACGTCACTGCTTGGCTGAGTCCCACGTGATTGTTTGCATTCATTTTGACTAAAAGCCTAAGGTAGGGAAAAGCTTAGAAATCTTGCTTCCATGTGTTGTATTATATTTATTCAGAACAAATGCAGTGATGAGTGAGTATAACATTAACGTATGATTATGAAATGGAGGTTATGGTTTTTAAAATCTTTAAACTTATGCAAAGCTTTCTAATATTTTCTGTGTTCAATGGTGGCTTTCATGTTTGTTAAGCTTTTGTAGAGCAGAAGTAACAAAAGCTTTCACATGCAAGTTGGTGTAAATTAACTCTTTGAGTACATTCCTGCTCTTAAAGTATTTTGTCTAAATTGTTCTGATTTTCTAGTCTAGTTAAAACATTATCTTTTATTTGTAATTTAGGATTTCCTGTCCCCATTTTCTAGAGCTTATGATATGAATGATTACCTTTTTGCTCTCTGCAGTTTTTAGGGTTCTTGAAAGTAGTGAAGTTAGTTTTAAATCACTTTCTTGTTTTCAATGTTACTTTTTTTTACTTAAAAATTACATGTATCATAGAATTAAAAAATGATAAAGTAGATATAACATACATGCATAGATTTTTTTTAATTGGTGAGGTCTACATGATTGCATTTGGCCAAAATCCTAAGGTAGAGAAAATTTTAGAACTTTACTTCTTGTATAATAAATATCGCACATACTTATACATTATGCATGTATGTGTAAACAAGTATAGTTACGACCTGGAGTCCAATGCTTCTAATAATGTTTAATACTTTTAAATGTGGTTCAGTAAAATGCCATCAAACAGGTTTTATAAACATCAGAAACTGAAATCCTTCTCAGGTAAAGTTATCTAGGCACCTGGGCGCTTGGCCATCTTTGGCAGGTATTTTTGTTATTTGTTTTTAATGGTCATAATTAACATTTCCCTCTGATATTCTAGAGACACTAACTACTAGAAATTTATAGTTTTAGAGCTGTGCTGTATATTTTGGGTATGCAGACTTCGTTTATTTTTCACACAGTGAGAAATATTTCAGGTGAATAAAAATTGTACTTTAAAAGCTTTAAGTTTTTGTCTTCATGTTTTACTTACATTGTGCTTTGTTGATTTAGTTGTGCCCTATGACTTTAGTTTGTGTCTTACATCTCTTAGAAAAATTAGAAAAATAAAACTGAAGGAAGAAAAAAAATAACTATAAAAGGAGAAACTTAAAGTTTAGAACTTTGGCCTTCCTTAGTTACATTGTAAGAGGAGGACTGAAAGTCGAGTTTCTTAGCATTTGGTTCTTAACACTCCATAATGCCATACTATAGTGTTCACTGCTTGTTGGGGTCCGTGTGTCCCACCCCCACCCTCGCTTGCTTAATTAGCCACACGCATAAGGAAATGATGTTTATTGAATCTGCTTAAATGAGCTCTCCAAAGTAGAAATGGACTGGTATTTTGCTTGTTTGTTTTGTTGTTGTTTTATTTTTTGAGACAGGCTTTTTCTGTGTACTCACTCTGTAGACCAAAGCTGGTCCCAAACTCACAGAGATCTGCTTGCCTCTGCCTCCTGAGTGATGGAATTAAAGACGTGTGCCACCACGGCTGGCAAAAGTGGACTTCTTCTTATCAGTGATTCCTAATAGTGGGGCTTGAATGAGATTTGGGAACTGTACAGTTACTGTTGAGTGATAAGTACCTGAGCTGGTATGTAAATGATCTTCCCTTATGATCATTTTATTATTGTAATATCTATGTTACAAGTGAGGAACTGGTACTTAGAGTTGTGAAATAATTAACCTAAACATCAGCTAGTTACTGATGGGAAAGAGGGTTAGATTAGAATTTTGAAACAGGATTATTTAAAAATTTCAAACTGAGTTTCTATAATTTATTCTTAAATTTTATACTGCGTGGCTGCTTGAGAAATTGTGAAACTTTCCCCTCCAATATTGACATAGTACCCCAGGAATCATTAATAGAATATTGAATGTATTTTTACTTTTTTTCAATAAATGTTTATGAATAAGCTACTAAATGCTAACATATACATTATGACACAGCTTATTAACTATTGGGAATATAATGATGACAAAAAAATGCCCTACCTTCCCGAGGGCAGGACAGTGTAATTATTTTGCCAGTTATTGTTAATATTTTTTACATCTATCTTTTGGTAATACTGAAAGCTGGGCGGTGCTAGATAAGTTCTCAGCTTCTGCTCTGCATCCCCTGCAGTGTGTTTTTTTAGTTTTAATTCACGGCCATCATACATATTTGTGTGGTACAGTGAGACATTTTATACAATGTGTAGTAATCATCCCAAGACAACTGGCGGATACACAACTTCTAAGATGGCCTTTTTGATATTGAACTAGATTTATTATGGCTCTCAATTATTGAGGGCTTCATGGATAACTCAAAAAATGGTCCCTTTCTATGTTGGGTTGAAACCTGAACTACCCACCAGTGAGATGTTTTTTCTGTCGATTGTTATATAACAAGTGTTTATATGACAAGAAGATTTCTAAGATGGACAATTAGAGGTTCCTCTGCATGAGGCATAGTACATAGCAAGAATTTAAATCAAACTATTTTTACTTTTTTTTTTTTTTAAATTTTCGAGACAGGGTTTCCCTAGTTTTTGGTGCCTGTCCTGGAACTAGCTCTTGTAGACTAGGCTGACCTCAAATTCACGGATATCCATCTGCCTCTGCCTCCTGAGTGCTGGGATTAAAGGTGTGCGCCAACACCACCCAGCTACTTTTGTTTCTTTAAATTTATTAACAGCTTAAAGTATAGATAGATAACAGCTATGAAGTAAAATTTCCATTACTGATATCTTCTAACAGCTTTAGCTTCCCAGGCAAGAGAAATGGTAAAAATCTGTGACAGGAGACCTTGTACAACTTCTTTTAGTCTGATTTTTTAAAATAAAACTGAATTCTGTGTTTAAACCAACTCAAATAATTGTGGCAGGTTTCTTTGTCAAACTTAGCAAACTGACACTTGCTTTGCTAAGTTTTATAGCTATAAGTGGCATGTAAGTGTTGCTTACAAAGATCTGTTTTTATTTTCATAACACAGGCCTTATGTGGAAAAAAAGGTGTCGATTACTTTGGGTATTGTGGTTCAAACTGTCCACATGTTTTTCTCTCTCTCTGTCAGAATTTTTTTAGGCATGTCTATAATAATCCTTAAGGAACTGAAATTTAAGGAAGGGATTTGTAATGCTTCCTAATTTCTCATGTCTATGAAATATGCAAATCTTATTTTTACTACATAGTTGGTTCTGAGTGTTTTGTATGGTAAAAATTAGCAGTAACTTTGGGAATTATCTGTTGTTATGTATGAGTTCAGTAATTTCAACAATATTAATATTGAAAAAGTTTAACCAGAATGGCAGTAGAACACTGAGCTACTGCTGTTGAATAAGAAGAGAAAACGGGAGACTTAAGTCCAGTCTTGCCTATATTGGTCTCCTTTTTGTTTGTGCTTTACATGACCCCTATACTTGAAATTTATTTCAGTTCATGACAAGAATGAAATACTTCTTTTTAAATGCTAGATTTTTTTAAAAACAGGTATAATTTTCACCATGTTTTACCTGCATGTTTGTGTATATGAGGGTGTCAGATCCCTTGGAGTTATAGACAGTTGTGAGCTGCCATGTGGGTGCTGGGAATCGACCCAAGTCCTTTTAAAAAGCAGACAGTGCTCTTAACTGCTGAGCCATCTCTCCAGCCTATATTGGTCTCCTTTTTGTTTGAAAATTATATTTGACATAGTTATCTAGGAACTAGGGTTAGTTTTACTGATGTTCCCTAATGTACATAATAATATTTACTTGGAGTTTATACCTCTTGCCTTTTTCAAAACACTTTTATTGCATGAAAGATGCAGACAAATGACTTAATGCTAGTAAATAGCTTTACCCTTTAAAAATTATTTATTAAAATATTTTTCTGTGAAGTCCACTAGTCATCCATGAACTGTTTTATTGTTCTTTGAACATAGAAAGCATGTGTCAGCATAATTGTAAATTAGCAATCTCATAGTGATCACAAGTGTCAGTATTTGCCTGCCTTATTTTTCTCCTTCAGTTTTTATTAAATTGGACAGCAGATGATCATGTTAAGAATTTCTTTTGACTTGAAAGCAAAGTTAAATATACATATCTCTTTGAGAAATTATCAGCACTTTCAATTCATATAATTAATAAATATGATTCATACACTATTAACCTTAAAGAAAGTATAATCATTTAAAAATTTTAGTGGTTTGGCAGACACATAATTTTGCTTTTATATTCTCTGTAATCTCAGTGAATTAGCAGTTTTAGTTAGGTATAACTTTTACCAATTAAAATTATGGTGTTAGACTGTGGAGGTGGTTCAGTGAATAAGGTGTTGGCCGTCCAAGCATGATGACCTGATACATAACCTCAGCAACCAACTTTTTTTTTAAAGAGAAAAATTGTATAAAATGTAATCTATATTTTATACTTTAAACCAAAGTATTTGATGATTATATATCACTTATTAGTCAAGAATCATGATTGATATAATATGAAATGTTTGTTTTTCAAAACATATCAGTTTCTTGATAATTTGAATGAAGAAATCCATTGTATGGAAAGTCACAGAGTTAATAAATTTTATTTTTGATTTTGAGACAGGGTCCTTTTTTATAGCTATGGTTGTTCTGGGACTCATTGTGTAGACAGGCTGACCTCTAACTCACAAAGATCTGCTTGCCTTTGTCTCCCAACTGCAGGGATTAGACATGTGCACCACTATGCGTGTAATAATAGTGGCTCAGTTTGCATCTAGAGGTAATCACATCTATAGGCAGATGCAAAAAGCTTGAGAATGTGATTAAGGGTTGCTTCCGGATGCCATTTAATGTGCTAAACAAGTATTGCTACATTTTAATGTTTTTCACTCATGTTTTTCTTTGTAATTGC